ACTGAATTTCAACAGCATTGTACCTTGCAGTGATGATTCTGAGTTGGAAAATAACATGTTGCTTTCTGTGCTTTGTATAAAACAGAGGTAACTTATTAATCATTAACATGAAAAACTAATTAAAATTCTAAACAGTCTGAGGACAAATTGTGCTCTTCCTCATCGGTCAGGTCAACAGTATTATTCTAGATGTGTTCTCAGGGGTAGCAAAGGTCAGAATCTGCACAAGATATAAAGATTAATTTTTATTCCTAAATAAAGACCTTAGGAACGTAAATTCATAACATTTTAACAGTATAGACTGATGCCAAGTATTTGTAGTGAAATTTATCTTTAGGGTGCTGTTTTGTTTTTCTTTGTTTTAATCTATAAAAAGATTTTTCAAGAATTTGAATAAAACCTGTGGAGTTTGGTTAATTAGTGTTATCCTAGTCATGTGTATATTTAATATGCCAGTTGTGGTCTGCCTGGAAAGCCTGCAGTATGCTATATACTGAGATAGCGTTGAAAGTATAATGTGAGCAGAAGTTCAATAAAACCAAAGGAATGTTCCACAGTATTGTTTGGGAAGAGAAAAGTCAGATAGGATTATTAAGTAAGCTTTCTAAACAATAAGTGAAAGTGGAAAAAAATTTTCTGTAAGAGAATCTGTGTATCAAAACCAGCCTATTTCCAGACAAGCTTTATCGAAGTTTCTATTGCATTCTTATGCAGGGATGTGCATTCCTATGTAGTTATGCAGAGGTGATACAGCTAGAAAACAATAAATAGTCTTACAACAAATAGTAAAGAACAAAAGAGAAGATATAAAGCAAATTCGTTTCTGGTGTTTGGCAACCAGAATCCCGATTATAGCTGGGGTGAAGGATCTGTGGAAATGGTCATACTATGAAAGACAGAAGTAACAGTGCTGCTGTTGAACTTCTGTAGTTAACAGGATCCCAGAGAAATCATAAATGAAAGCTAGAACAGCTGATGTCTAGTATCACTGCTTTCTTATTTTCAACACATCTTTTGAAACCGTTTCCCATTCTGTAATTGAAAATTTTATTTAGTCAAGCAAAGTTTTAGATTCTTAATCTTTGGCTAAAAAGAACTCACTCATTTTTAAGTTTTTGTCCAAGATAAACAGTAATTTCTAAATCTGCCTTGGTTTAGCCTGAAGTCAGTTGAATAAATCTGTATCTACGAAAAGATGATACATTTGATTATAAATTTAGTATGTTTTAATCTTGCTTTAGATGTCTTCCATTAAACCATTGACTCAAATTATGTAACGAGGGAATATCTCTGAATTTGGTAGTACTATAGTTTTTTAGTAGTTCTCCTTTTTATGGTATTAGGAATTAAAAAATAAAAATACCACATGGTTCGAACAGCATTCATCCTTCTCAGTTATTTTAAATTTTACATATATAATGTTTAAATATACAGAGAAAATTCCTGCACATCCTGGTCCATTCTCTCTTTTTTGAGTAAATAAAGTGTAGTGGAAATTTTTCGCAATTTAATTTTAAAAACTTGTTTTCCTCTGTCTGTTTGCCTATTGTGAATGGAGTTGAAATGGAACATTCGATATGGATATAACATTCTAGCAAAGTTCATTTTTTATCTTAATAAAATCGGTATATTTACAATCATCATTATTCTAAAGGAGTAGTTCAATCTATAGAACACAGGAGAATAACATAAAACAAATGAAGACTTCAGATAATATATGAAATCCTAACATTTTAATTTGGAAAGACTACTTGGATCTTCTTGCCAGTCCTCTCTTTTCACATCAAAAGGGACAATGAGAAAAATGAGGTGTAGTAAGTCTTGTGGCAAAAATGGAAGCATTACAATTTCCTAATCTAATTTTAAAAGTTGAAGCACCTCTTTAAGTTACGCCCAGAGTTTTATCTTTCTTCCTTCTTAATCCGTTTTATTAGTAAATTATTTTCCAGTGAAATAATTCTGAAAATCCCTTTTGTAATTCAAATTTAGTGTTAGGTCAATACTAGCTTTTGGGTTGGTATTTTTCAGCCTTAATAATACCGCTGTACTTTGACCTAGAAACCTATTTTGATTTGATAGTTGTAACAACTATTTTTTTAACGTCTGCAGTTTGTTTTACATGCGAGTATTTACTTATGACTGTAATATTATTGCATAAATAATATAAAGACTTGGAAGAAACATTTGAAAGCATTTTAGAAGGATCGGTGAAAAGTAGTTATTGGGGGAAGATATTGGATCAGTCTTTTCCTAGTAGAAGATTGTACAGTATGTAGCTGTCTTGTGACTAGCACAAGATCTTTCACTGAGCTCTTGAGAAACAGTGCATTCAAAAAGACTAAGTTCCTATTTGCAAATCACAGTTCAAAGGCTTTCTCTCATATGTTGTCAAAGGGTTTTCATTCTCCGAGGAGTCAGTGAAGTTGTTCCCAGTTAATTATTCTAAAGTAACCCCTTTGGGCTGTCCTTTTAATTGTTTTCCAGGTGCCATAAACTGCAGATTTCAGCAAGAAACAAATTTAGATACAGCACAGTAGGAAGTTTTAAAAGCCAGCAGCTTCTGCAAAGGGTTGTCAAGAACAATCTGCAAGGAGACTGGTTTTGGCATATAGATTTTGAGCTGAAACAGTACAGGAAAGGAAGTGCTACTTGCCAGCTCTCACCACCATATGCTTTATTATAATGTAATGTACAAAGAACATGGAGACAGCAGCTGCTCTAGAGGGAGGTGGCCACTTGTTAGATTTTGAAAGCTTTCTGAAATGTCTGTTCATTTTCTTTTCACTGGTATTTTTTCCCCTTCTTACGTATTTGCATTCAAAAGATATTCACTAAAAGAAATCTATTTTTAGACCACAGTAAGAAGAGGAGAGTGTGATCTGCTTTTTGTTGAAATAAAAATAATTTTAGAAGGACTCTTAACATTTAGTTTGATGTATGGTGAAATGTGGATAGATTTTTATTTTCTCAATATCCATTCACATCAGGTCATGATGAAATCATATGTATAAATTAACTATTGTCTAGGATTGTATGTCTTTGATGGAAAGAAGTTTGTCTTTCATTAGTTTCCAGTGTGCGTTTGCTAGTGGCCTCGATCACATTCACTTTTAAGTCAATGTCGAGATTCACTGACTTCAGTGGCAGAGAGAACCAAAGCATAAATGAGGATTTAGATCTAAAATGGAAAGAGTTTGATATGATGTGCACAGAGAAATCAGCTTTTCCTACCATCACTACCCAGGCAGTGATGTTGATTCCTCTGTTGCTTTGAGAAACCTGAAGTTCTTAGTGTGTTTCAGGAACCGTATGCCTGCAATGTCATGAAAATTTATTTAAACAAAACTGTATTTTAAAGAGTGGTTTTTTTGACTCCTAACTGAGATTTTCGTATCCACTGAATGTAACAATCCTTCCATATACACGTAACTACAAGCTCTTGGGTTTTAAATTAGGGATTCTTAAGTAAATTTGAGAATCCAGAGGGAAGTTACATCACAGTATAATGGGATTATAGCAAGGCAAGTTGTTATAGCATATAATAACATTAATATATCATATTAGCATTTTTGCTGAGTGTCAATGTTTTACATTGATCCTGGAGTAATGCTAAAATGTCATAGCAACACAAATATGACCCATTTAACTCAGTAAAAATGATGGTTCATATAGAAGAAAGATGTTACAATTCTTTTTGGAAGGATAAATCTCTTTGAGACAGAGATTTTTAGATTATTATGTATTGCTCACCATAGATGCATCTCTCTGAAAAAGGAATTACATTAATCTATCTGTCATCAGGTATATATTTTCCTGATGCTAGAAGGATGATTCTTATGGAAAATCTGTGTTTATTTGCTTACTTCAGTTCTAGTCCAGTCTGTTATTATCTATCTGACCTTCATTTTTCAAACCAGCTGCAATTGGTGGTTATCCAGAATACATACTTACTTGCTAATGCTTACTTAAAGGTCCCCTTTTTCCTTTTTGTGGCCGTACTTATTGCAAGAATTCAAATCTAAGTAGGATTACTGATTTGCAACTTTAGTCATTCCTTGCATTACCCCTCATCCCACTGAGGGGCAATGTAGGGAATTCCATCTACTTAGGAATCCCATTTCCAAAGCAGACTGGATTTTAAAGTCTATAATGAAATTAAACATGGTTTCTGAATATAGTCCTGCAGTCCTAATTCTGCAAAATGTGAAGCAAAAGTTTAAGTCACATTGAAAAGGATGACTTACAGTCGTGTCTGGAGTCAAATCAAAACCTGTTTTCAATGCAAATTAAATTGTGAAAGGACTTTCCCTTCTTTTGGTTCCCATCAGTATAGTTTAGCCCTAGCTTAAGCAACCCTTTTCTAATTCTACTGAGTACAAGAAAATTTATCAACAGTCTATAGTTCACATGTGGGTAACTTTAAGTCAATCTGGAGTCTTGACAACACAGGAACATTTTTTTGGGGTGTATTACACCTCCAAGAAAGTTTATAAATTAAATGTATGTTTGTTTGTTTGTTTATATTTGGAATGGGAAGGTAAAGCTTTCCTTGTCCCTAGAAGGACTGAGAATTGTCCTGAGTTGCAAAATGCATTTTTTCCTAACATATAAAGCATTTATTGTCTGAAGCAGCAGACTAAAGCATGGTAATTCTAGAAACAGGTACTTTTAGATGTAGAACTATTATTTTATAGATTATTAGAAATACCTTTTTAACTGAGATTTACTGTTATGATTAGATGCAGATTTATTTTTACATAGAAAATGCCTGGTAGCTATTTGTCTAGAGAAATTTTCCTCATTGTGAGAATAGCTGCTTCAAGTCTGTTAAAGCTCTATGGATATTTTGCTAGCTTTTAAAAATCGGAAGACACATGATTGCACAGTTAAGAGTTTCAGATCTTAAACTGTACACTGTAACTTTGTTATTAATTGTTCAGAAGGCATTGTATACTGCTTATCATTAGAGAAATTCATATCTAATTTTTCCTTCTCTTCAGCCACCAGAAAAAGAGGGTGGCCTGCCTCGCCAGGTAGGCAATAAGACGGAGTGTGGCCTCTTGGGATTTGTCCTGGATTTGAAGCAGGATTATGAGCCTGTTCGGAACCTCATCCCCGAGGAGAAACTCTATAAAGTTTACACGTTCAACTCTGTCAGAAAGTCCATGAGTACTGTCATTAAAATGCCAGATGGTAGTTTCCGAATGTACAGCAAAGGAGCTTCTGAAATTGTTCTGAAGAAGTAAGTTCAATGGATTAGTTGCTGTGTTTTTCCAAAATGCAAAACATCCTGACACTAATAAGACATATGTGGGAATTTCGGTATTTGGAATTTGCTACTTACAGTAGAAATATGTCACACACTTAGTAGTATAAGCTGTTACTGTTCTTTTCTAAATTTTTTTTTTTTAAGTCCTCACTCTTGCAAAACTGTTTGGCTTGTTTTTCTTATCTTTGGCTAGCCAGAGAATTGGGTTTACATTCAGTAGTTTACGAATGGATTCTTTACGTTCAACCCATTTGGAAAATAAGGATTTTTCAATTTCATTGTAAGTTGGCATTAATTACATGGGTATTGAGGAAATAATGGATGAAGGGCTCTTGGTGTCTCTGTAATAAGTTACAAACAAATTCTCTGATATATCAGTAGTGAGTCTTCTTGTTTGATCTAGAAATTTACACTAGAAATTTAAAACTTGCCATCAAAAAAGGAAAACGTTGAATGAAACGAGCTGATACAAGGAATACTTTTCAGCAGTCATGCAAATACACAATCAACTATTTTTTTTCCCCCCCACCCCATAAATAAAAAAGATGTTCCAGGATCCTTAATGCAGCTGGTGAACCTCGTATCTTCAGACCACGTGACCGAGATGAAATGGTGAAGAAAGTGATTGAACCTATGGCCTGTGATGGACTGAGAACTATCTGTGTTGCTTTCCGAGACTTTAACAGCACCCCAGAGCCTGACTGGGACAATGAAAACGACATATTATCTGACCTGACTTGCATTTGTGTTGTTGGCATTGAAGACCCAGTAAGGCCAGAGGTATATAAAATTCTTATGTTATAAAGCATTTCTTGGAGAACTGAACATAAATTGAACTACAGATTTCTTGCAGTTTTTATCTTTTTTTTTTTAATTAGCCCTGTCAAAGAAGATGGAAGTGAGCTTTAGAAATAGACTTTACTTGATAAAAAGTCAAATAATTAACTTGATAAAAATCAACTATTAATCAACTGATATTTAAATAAAGCAAAATAGGGCTTCTTGAACTACAGGGTTGAGATGGCTTAACCTTCTCTTAAGGAGTAGTATACAGGAGGACTGATCAGCACAAGTTTTATTATGCTACCAAATATTAAAGAATTTTCCTGTAAGTAATGCAGTGATATGCAACTCTGAAAGTAAAGAAAAGACATGCCGTGATTGTAATTCCCATGATTATAACTGCAATGTGCTCGCTTTCCACAGAAGTTGCATGCAGTCTTGGGAGTTGTGTGTTTTACTGTAACAGTTGCCACTTTACTAATTGTCTTAAGATTGTAACTGGTGGCTACTCAGGAAAACTGTTCTGTATTTGGACAAGGAAAAGCTTTGCCATGGAAAGGCTGCAGATTTCATGGATGCTATACATAAATGGCTTGTAAATATATGAGTAAAATTTCAACTCAACTAAACTGAGAAAATCGGTATTGGGTGTACACACTGGAAGCATGTGCCTGCTACTACGCTTGTAAAGGATATTACTACAGTAATACAAAGGGCAGATTAAGAGGTAGAAACTTTGTTTCTGACCTATGTATATGGTGCTTGATAATTAATCTTGACAGTGGAGAATTAATTCCATTTTACAGTTTAGGAACAGCGACAGAAGGTAAGTCCCAAAGTTGAAAGTGCTGAGCACAAAATGCAGGCATCTTCGGTATCTTTGTTCGGTGCTTTTCTGGCTGACTCAGCCGCGAGCGCGGGGCCATGGCTGCTGTGTGGGCAGAGCTGCAGCCGCGTGGTGTGATGGGAGAGCACCTGCCCCAGCGCCTCCCGCAAATGGGGGGAGAGCGATTAATGCTCTCCTATTTTGCTCCAAGAAATCCACTCTTTGATTCTGCTGTTATTTTGGTAGATGATTAATGACTCTGGTTTGCTTTGGAGTACGGTCATTGAACGATAACTCAAATTTCTCTTATACAAAAAGAGTGGGTTCTGATACTGCAAAAGTAAGTAGTTTGGTACCAATTTTTGTCTTTTTTGTTCTTTGGTCTCATTTTACATTTTTGCTGGATCTTTTTTTAATCATGTCTAAATCTTTGTATTTGGTCCACTGAGAATTGGAGGCAATGCTAGACATGTTAGGAAATTATTTTGTTTTTACTAAAACATCAAAAGTATAAATTAATCTGATTTATTTCCCCAAGTCCTTTATAAAGTAGGCTTTTACATACTTTGGACTGCTGTAACTTTGGAAACTAGCATGATATAATTACAACTACAGGTACCACCTGCGTAACTATGCTTTGCGTGATACTGGACTTTCAGTATCAAGAAGGTTATAATATGAAGTAAATCTTGCCTAGGTGAAAACTGTATGATAAACCTCTTATCTCTGCAATCATCAGATAAACAGCATTCACTTTATCTGTCATCAGATGGTCTCTTGCTGCTAATCCATCTGTCCCTACACCTGACATTGCAAGTCTTTAAAAATATTTTAAAACAGTCTCAAAATGTTCTGTCCGCAATGATCCCTTAATGCTCTAGCTAACATATTTACAAAGTCAGAAAGTTTTTAACTGTCAGTGACCACTGGAACTGTGAATCAGTCTTCTTTCCCTCCCAAATTGATTCATGACACGTCTCGAAAGAAAAAAATTTTAAGTGAGGTTATGTGTGGTATGACAGACTGAGGGAATGGGTAAGCAGTGGGATTTGCAGTTATTATTGAAAATAGCTGCAAACTATCCTTTCGTGGGATTATTATGAGTGTGTTTTATAAGAGAACTGCTCTCATCTCGTAAGGAATAATTTCTTAGGAGCTTGAGGTAAAAATGGATAGTGTTGCTAAAAATAAAGAGGTCAAGTCTGGCTTCTTTGTAAAGGATCAAAGAAGGTGAAGGCAGGAAAACATTTTATTTCTAGATAATTATTTGAACAATATATTGAATTTCTTGTAGGTTAACACCAGAATATGCAGTAACACTTCTTACTTCATTGCAAGACACACAATAAAATGTTTATCATTTCAGAATTTTACCAAATGTTGGACATTTGGGACTTTGTTTCTTGGGGTTTTTTTCCTCCTTGTCCCTTTTTACTGTTTTAAATTGGTAATAACATCATAAGAACATTTAAAACAATGTTTAAATTATTACTACTCCACACATTGGTAAAAAGCTGTAGCAGTACCTTAGGAAAAAGAAATTAACCAAAAAACCCCAACCCAGAACACAAACATAAATTTCAGAAAAACTGTCTAGGTATGAAATATCTGACTTAGTGGGAATATCATAGCGTACATATATTACAATGGTGAAATCACCATTGTAGATGCAAATAGTAAGATGTTGAGCTGTTATAAGGGACCTTACTATTTTGACAGAATTAAGCCCACTTATTAAATAGAGTCACCGCTGGAGTTTATGAATTTTCAAAGTGCTTTCCATAGGGGAAAAAAGAACATAAAAAATTAGAATCATTACTACAACTGCTGTTTTATTAATATTCTCAGTATTCATGGATATCAGAATTTATTCTGACAGAAATGATAGATTAGGTAATTCCAATGAAACAATCCAATGTCACCATCCTGGCAGCCTTTAGTTTCCCTCAGATTACATTCCTATTTTTCCTGGGGAAGGTTCAGTTTTTTCCTTTTCCTAAGATGATTTTTGGATTTAACACACGCAAAACGATAGCCTCCTTGTTTCCACAGAACTCCTGTGGCATATTGCTCATATGCATCCTTGGAGTGTTTAAATGTGTGAATACCTGCAGTGTCAGTGGTGTCACGCTAGCATGGTTTCAGAGATAAGAGTGCTGCATCTGTTCTGATGATATTGCTGGGAGCTGTCTTGCACTTGCATTTCCTTCCGTACATTAAAAGAAACTATTTGGATGAATTATTCAACAATGATAGCCAGCAACTGACCAGCTTTATCTGGAGTGTAACCACTGGACACCCATGACTTTGCATAATTCCTAGGTTAATTCAGACACTAGCTTATTCATTATCAGCAGTTGTTTTTATCAAGCACTGAAGTACCTGATTGATATTTATCTTTTGTGTGTGTGTGTGTGTGTGGTTTTTTTTTTTCTTTGATAAATATGCAAGAAGAGAACAAATAGAATGATGTCTTGTTCCTATAGAGATTTCTCTGTTGATTTTGAAAGTCTTTCTGAATTGATTTTAATGAGTCTGTAGTGGTTTATACTGATTTCCCAATGTACGCCTACAATCTGTTATTTCTGGGAGATGAACATAAATCACTTCCAAATGTCACCTATTTATTTGTCACCTGATGTTGGTAGATATTCCTGCATTGGATAATTTATGCATGCGTGCATGCATTAGAAGGTTTTCTTTGCAGAGAGAAAGTAAACCAGAAAATTTTAAAACGTGTACTTAAGCTCTGCAAAATTGATGGAAAATATCTGCTTCCACTGCCCACTCAGTCTGCCAACACTCTTTAGCAATAAAAAAATATGAACAATATTTTAACTGTAATTACTGTACACAGTATTAAATCAGATGCCACCCACCAGCTGTCCAAAAAATGAGAGAAGAGGAAAATAGAATTATTTCTCTAGTTATATGTGAGTTTGAGATGTCTTTGAAACTAGATTGTCCTCCCATGACCTTGTTTAATAGGGCTGGCACTTTATGTGAATAGACCTTTTTTTCTGTTTGCACTGTAATTTATTTTTCTCCTTCATGGTTCGTACACTGTGCTGGTTTTACAGATAAGTCATCTAAATCTGTCATATCCTATGCATGAGGGTCACCACAGTTAAAGTGGATACTAAGGCATTCCAAATTGGCAAATGGGATATAGCCAGGATTATTAATGTGGAAACTGGGTAAATCAGGAGTCATTTGCTTAAGTAATAGATTTAATCTGATTGTATGTCCCCCATAGAAGTCTATTTCATAATGTTAAAAGGCTTCAGGTCCAAATAATGCTTCCAGGATACAACTTGTGGGAAGAATATTCTCAGTTAGCAGAGATGAGGAAATGGAAAGATAAACCTCTGTCCCTTAATTTTTCTCTTGGTTCTGTAATCTGTATTGACAGAGAGTCATTCCGCAGACAGCACATCCTATGGATGCAGTCTGAGGGTGGAGGGATTTTCTTCGTAGCCGTGGGAAGAGTACTATTCTGATCCTCAATTAGGTGTTACTTTAGTGAGGCATTTTGGAAAAGAGAAGCTTCGCAACTGCCTTTAATAAAGATGCAGAAACATGGTGTGAAATTGTATTCACTGATTAGAATAATCATTATCTACAATATGGTTTAAGGGTGTATAATTTCAGTCCGACGTGCAGTCTGAGATATATAGCCTTTCTGGCCCCGTGAAATCAGTAGAAGCCCAGCATTTGCCACACTGGATCAGAGCAGTGGTGGTCAAGTAAAAGGCAATGTCCTGCTCTCAGCAGTGTCACATACTTGCGGCTATAGAGGAAATTAAAATATCTAGAAATGCACAACATTAACAGTGTAATAGATGGTGACGCCTTTTCTTAATATTTTCTGTACTAATGGATGAGATTAATCCACTCTAATTGGCATTGAGTTCTACAATACACTTACAGCTATGATAGAGGTTATGATCAGCAAGCTGCACTGAACTGGCAGTAGAAGATAGTGAGGCTTTGATATTGTAGCCAGTAATATCCATTTTGATACCCTTAAATAGTATTTTTTTTGGTTTGTGGTTGTTTTTTTTTTTTTTACTTTTTTTAGAATTATTTTAGAATTAAAATTCTTTTCATAATCATATCCTTTATGGCCTCAAGTTGCGCCAGGGGAGGTTTAGACTGGACATTAGGAAAAATTTCTTTACTGAAAGAGTGGTCAAGCCTTGGAACAGGCTGCCCAGGGAAGTGGTGGAGTCACCACCCCTGGAAGAATTTAAAACACGTGTAGATGAGGCGCTTAGGGACATGGTTTAGTGGGCATGGTGGTGTTGGGTTGAGGGTTGGACTCGATGATCTTAGAGTCTTTTCCAACCTTAATGATTCTATGATGCTATGATTAGCTCATTAGTTTCTGTAGGAAATCAAAGCTCTATATACACGATTGCTGACATAATTCATCACAGTCAGACAATCTGTTACTTCACGTAAGTATGTCATCTGAAGAAGCTCAGCTGATAATATAGCAGCAATTTGCAGTCAGTGGTCAAGTATATGTATTATTCAAATATGGCTTATGTATGCACTACATAGATTGAGAGCGTTAGGCAACATTGCAGAGCAAGCATCTAGGGCCAGGTCTTTGGAGCTATTTTAACTTCTGGGATAACCTTCAAATTACCTGGAGGTTTACTTAGGATCACTGCCTAATATTCAGATGCTTATCTAAGTCATGCTCATCTTTTGGGTATTTTTTTCCTCTCAGACTGTTACTTGTCTACTTCAAATACCTCTCCGCTGCCCCACATGTAACAAGCAGTGCAACCTATAGTTGCTTTATAGTTGTCTTTTGCTATCTTCTGTAGTAAGGCAGTTCAGTTTCTTGTAGCTCTGTGAAGGGTTTCTGTCCTCATGAGGAGTCCTGGGATGCCCTTAGTCTCTTCCAGGTAAAAATGAAATTTAGAGAAGTGGTGGTGTGCTGAAGGTATCTATCTAGGTTGTTCTTTAAGTGTTAAACACACTTCTTATTCTTCCATGTCAGATAATATTGTTTTTTTTTTTTTTCTTGAAGAAATAATGCTTTCATAATAATGCAAAAGTGTGATAAGACTGAATTCATTGGTTAGAGTGATATTTAATAATTAATAAATTATCATTAATTATTATATAGTTTAAGGGAATAGAATTTTTTCCCCGACTGAAATTGAGCTATAGATATGTAGCCTTTCTATAGGCATTGACTTCATATACCCAAGTAGCTGTATTAAAAGAGTGTTATTTAATTATTAGGAAGCAATTTCCTAGGTCTTGCACATTTTAATTACAAAAATCTTTTTTTTTTTTTTAAATGAGCTGTATATGATGCCAAGTCAGTATATAGCTTCTACATTAATGTCACGGACTCTGTGACACTGAATTCTCTCTCATTGGTATGTATACTGTGCAGCAGGAAAAGTTAGTCTCATGCAGAAAGGAGCATAACTAAAATCATGCTTCATTTTTACAGTTTTGAAATATGTAAATTATTAATTAAATTTTAAACTCACATATTTAGGAATTCCACCTGTTGGTATGCATGAATTAGTGTAACAGTGCTAAATTACAGTAACTTTTTAGGTAATCTTTCTGAAAGGAAAGTTTGGATCAGAAGTTAGATAATTTTCTGTACAAAATACCTGTATTCTCAGTTCATATTTACATGTATGTTGAATATGCTAGATTCAGCATGCTGTACCTTGATGCTAAAGGTCAAAAAAGTGCAGAGCACTCCTTTTTATTAAAGTCAGGAGAAGCTTTAGGCAACTGATCTAAAAATCGGTTTGTGTGCTTCTTGATACAAGATTTGTCTTGCCTGTGGTGTTACCTCAATTCCGAAATAGTCAGGTAGCTATAATATGCCATAACATGTATGATTTCTCTTTTTGCTTCATGAATTTCTTAGCCTCAAAATATTCTGACTGGAAATACCTGACTTAAATTTTATCTCTTATCTAGGAATTTTCTTTCCTGTTCTATTGCTTTTGTAGGTCCCAGAAGCCATAAGAAAGTGCCAGCGAGCTGGAATTACAGTCCGCATGGTCACTGGAGACAACATCAACACAGCACGTGCCATTGCCATAAAATGTGGAATCATTCATCCGGGAGAAGATTTTCTCTGCCTTGAACAGAAGGATCCGAAATGAGAAGGGAGAGGTAATTCATATACTAAATCCATATATGTTACCAAAAAATAGCGAGAACACTGAAATGTTGTTTCTCCTGCACTGATGTGTAGCTCATATCAGTAAAGACTATTTGGAGAGATTGCTACTTCTTTCTACCGCTAGCCTTTTGCAATTCAGAATACCATTGAAAATGCAGTCTCTGCTTTTCATGATGCAGAGCCACTATCAGTTTAGTGCTAGCCTCATTCAGCAGTTTTTAGAACCACAGTGCTAGTCTACAAGAAATCAAAACCATGCGCACATTAAAAGCAGGTTTGTTAGCAAAGAGGAGAAGGAACTCAACAGCAGTTTGCAGGTCTGTCGCATAAAAATGCAATCTGTACTGAGAACCAGCTCCTCTCGTTTCTTCATTTTATACCACTTTATCTAATGTACTGCTATAGCCACTCACTCTAATGATTTGCATAACTTAATCTATTCTTCGGAAGATTTTTAACTCCTCATAAAAGATGGAGCTAATACACAGGCTATTGAAGTCAGCTTTAAAAAAGTAAACTCTATGCTATGTCTTTGAATCTATCATTAATGAATGGACACAGTCGTTTACTCCTCGCATTGACTGATGGAATCCTTTGTCCTTGTTGCTATTGTATACAGAGAAAATTCTGCCATTATTGGTGCCAAAATGAAATGAAGAACTTGGATTCAAATGTAGAATAGAACAACACACTTGTAAACATGTTTGATCAGCTTTGAGAAACTCCACTATCCTCTATCTAGAGTCACGATTCTGAGTGGAATTATCCATAAATATGCTAAGAAAGGCTGGTTAGATACTGTGGCAAAATTTACCTATGTTAGCCAACAGCTGCGCTTTGGTAATAGAAAACTGCCTTTTTTGACCTTGCCTTCATTTGCAGCATTGATGGCTGTTGTAATTTTTCTGTGCTTTTGGAGAAAAGTTGCAGATCTGAGTAGTGAAATTAATCATCTGACCATGGACACAAATGTATTTTGCATTTTGTTAATCGCAGGCTAACAGTTTTACTATTTTGTTCTTTTTTGTGTTCCCCTCCTCCAGATTGAGCAAGAGCGGATTGACAAAATCTGGCCAAAGCTTCGAGTGCTTGCTCGCTCTTCTCCCACGGACAAACACACTTTGGTAAAAGGTGCGTGCAGACTACCTTCACGTGAGTGTGTAATTAGTGCCAAAGTTATTGAATTATGTTCGGCACATCATCTGCGTTGTAAAAATTTTACTGTTACAAATATATCAGAGTTGTTACTTTTAATTGCACATCTATACATAATGCAAGGAAGTTTTCTCAGTAACCAAGTCTTTTGTTTTGAGTTCTACCTGAGCCTTCAAATGGAAAATAATAGGAAACTGCTTGGCAGGAATAACAGAAATACCAATAAGATGTCTGGCAAGTAGATGTAGGCAGTCTCATATTTGCCTTGTGACTTTTAATTGGACTAGAATGAGGCTCTAGCTAGGAAGGGAAAATGTGTTTTTGCTGGTCAGAAAGAAAATACTGTTGAGAAATAGGTTGTTCTTCATATAAGCAAGAGAGTGGGCATAGATTTTGTAGTCTTTGCCTATACCTCTTTATGAAGAAAACAAGAACAAGGTCATTTAGAGTAAATCAAGTCACTCAAGTGCATCTGTTCTCCCACAATTATTTTTAAAGAATATTCCAAGATAAAAAACTTCTCATGTACAATAGCAGTTATTGGAGATCATGTAACTAGGAGCTGCCCTCTTTGGCATTACATGAATGGAGATATGTATTTTAAGCCAATTCTGTTTTCCTATAGGCTCACTAATCGTATTATTTGCATTGGCTTCCTTTAGATTTCTGGCTGTATTTTTGTCCTATAAAAACTGCACCATACAAATTATATTCTCTTACCATACTGTCTGCCGATGGAATGCTCTATAAAAGAGCGATTTGTTTGCAGTTTTCTTTATAAAGCCTTTTTCATATCTGTAACTCACACTTCTTGATGACTTGAAATCTTATTCTGTTGACTTTGAAGCTCACACTTAAAAGACAGCTGATGAAATCAGAAAATTTCTGATCAGGAATAACATCATTTCTGGCCATGATAAGATGGGGTGCCAGCGCAGGTGGAAGCCCCGTCAGCGGATGGCTGTATTTGCTGGCTTCCTGATGAAGAAGGAACTGGCTTATTTTGCTAAGGCCCTAGAAAGTCTGGAGAGACTCTGCTTAGCAATTCTTGGAGGAGCTAAAGTTCAGGATAAGAGCCAGCTGATGAGTTACATGTTTTCAGCTGGTTGACTACTTAAATAATAATTCACAGTTAGGTAGGAAATTGTTTCTGGATCTATCCTTTTGCTACAGCAAGGTTTTATTGATATGACTCCATACATGACTGATTACAAAGGCTTTTGAGGAGTATGTAATTTTTTAAAATGCCTAAATGACTTTAGAACAAAAGTTCCATTGTGAATTTGAAGACTGGATCAGTTGGGTCTTTGGGATTGGGACCAGTGTATGTGAAGAGCTCTGGAAGCATGGATCACTCAGGAGAACTAAGATACCTTGTAAGCCCTGGCATGGTGCACGAGATGGGGTAGCTGGAGACGTACTGCTGTTACTCACCCTCTCCAGCCACTGTTTAGACCAGTGGTCTCCGAAGTGGGGTGCACCCACGTCAGGGACAATCCATTGGGATGCAGGAAGAAAATTTTTTTTTACCATTATTAAATAGAAGAATATTTTAAAAATACTGATTATTTCATCTCTATCTCATCCTTTTCTAATGTATGTTTTATAATGTACATAATATAGTAGTACATAAGTATAATTCGATCTTACTGATAGGTGTTCATGATTGAAAAGGTTTGGAGACCGTTGGTTTGGACAACGTAATTATTAGCTCCATAGGTCAGTATTAAAACAGGACAAAGTTAGCTAAGTCTCCTCACTTCCCTAGTGCATATAAAATACTCTTATAGCTCTTAGAGAACATTACTTGTACAACCTAATAGTTTATTTGTTTCAGAAACACACAACAATTCGTGTTTCATTAAGTGGATTAAATAAGTCCCTTGGGACTACTCATTTGAATCATTCAGGATTTTCCCTTAAGAGAAAAACGAAACCTTTGCCAGAGAAGATGAAATCAACAAAGAGCTGAAGAAAATTAAGCAACAAATTATTGATGTTTTATAGTATATGCACTTTGACAATCCAAAAGATATTTACTACTACTGAATGCCTTATGCAACTAATACAATTAATGTTTTAAAGACAAGGTCAAATGATAAAGCAATTAAGTGTCTAACGAAGTTCAAGAATAAGTCTGTGGAAAATCATGATGGAATTTTTTGGCTGGTGATACCCCAAGGGCCATTAAAAGTTACAAGAAACTATTTAAATGTTCACTAGTTTTGGACCTCTTGTTAAAATGTTATGTTTTTCTCAGATACTTGAGGGATCAAGAGGATTTTCTCTTCTTTGATGTATTCTATCTGCTCTAGGGTAAAAACACACATCACAAAATAAACTTTTTTTATATTTAATTTTTAATGACATACAGCTGCTGGAGGGAATATTTTTTCTCCTTAACATAGCACAATCCCACCCAGCAAAAGGATCATTTTTATTTTGCATTTTTGTTTTTACTACTGCTAAGGGACTAGAGAAAGGCATGGCTCAGCATTTGAGGCTGGGCAGACAGTTTCTCTCAAATATTTATGGCTTTGAAGTAGAGGTAGATTGAAAAAAAAAATGTCAAAGTGGTTTATCATCACAAACTGTTTCAGTGAAACAAAAATGTTAGATATCTCAATCCAACTGAAATACAATTTCTTTCAGATTTTATGACATCCATTGGTATTATTTCATATTTTTTACCCTATTTTGAAATATAACAAGTAAAAATGCATATAATTTATACTGATGTGTCCTTATAATGCTATTGCTGAAATACTTCAATATTGTCATACTGTTTTTTAAAATACTATGGGAAGCAACTGTTTAGTACTGATGGGAAATACCATCTTATCAGAAGGTATAGAGAAGATCAAATAAATATTCAGTTTACCAGTTAAAGAGGCTGTGCTTTCCAATACATTTAAATTAGGCTGGAATGATTTTTCTGTGATATTAAAAACAACTATTCTATGCTCATGTAAGGCTGATTTATTAACAAGCAGAAAGGGAACTTTAAAGAAGAAAAGATTTTTAATAATTACCCTTAATTACTAAAATATTTCAAATAGTATTGCATGGGATGGTATTATATTCATGACCTCATTCATGTGAACATGCCATGAGACTAGGTAGAATAATAAAAATATAGAAAAGTGTATTAATTGAAATTCTGAAATTAAATATCAGCATGTTGCTAATAGCAAGTCGTTTTGATTTCCATTTGAGAGAAAATGTTAATATTTATTTTTATTCAAATTTATATGAAGAAATTTTTATTCAGAAAGTTGTCGTGTTCCACGATGTAAAAAGTCAGCTTCAACGAACTCTTCCCTGAAGCGAAGAACATAAAAGTAGTTTAAAGGAAGCAGGAGGTATACTGCATTTGAATCTAGAGTTTTATACTTTGTAAATACCGTTTAGGTCTCTGTGTTAAGTGTAACTTTGTGGGAGGCACTGATGCCTTCAAGGTTCCCCTTTAGTGTTTCAGTCTCATAATATAAAGCACATTGGTGGTGCATGCTTAGTACAGAAATCCATGTTGTTCTCTGGCATTCTAAGATCATGAACTTTGTGGAGCACTATTCACTTAACAATTACCAATGCTGTCTGTAATGTTATATGTAATACTTTTATGTTAACCTTTAAAGCTCTATTCCTGCACATACTTAAGCATGTAACTAAAGTGAATTCAAATTTTCTCTTTCAGACAGACTTTCTAAATTATTGTTGAATTAACAGGGAGCTTCAAAAAGTTTGGAAGTATTAAAAACTAATCTGACCAGAACATGCCTATGAAAATATATTACTGCATCTGTCTATGTTTAGCTTGCCAAAGAAATATAAGTATGTGTAAGCATATGGGATGATCAACTTTCCTGCATCAATAACACCTAAATCGGTGTGCATCTTTGAAATGCTCTACTGTAGCCAAGTTTTTCCTGTCTGCCTGTTTTGAGTTAATCAGTTGAGACAGAAAGTAATATCTAAACCGGGAATTTTTTTCTCCCAGAACGACCGGTTTCTTACTGATGCGACTCTAAGGGTGATAATGCAAGTAAGAATTGTTTAAATTAAAGCGGCTTTTGTTTTGCAATAAAGGGACAACCTGAGGCTATACTTGATGTTTTTGATCTGAGCCATGGGTACAAATAGCTCCTTGTAAAAGAAATGGAAGACACGTTGTTGATTAATATTCTTTATATTATTATCCCGAGTGGATTTGATTTAATGCTTGCTTAATGTTAGATGGGGGAAAAGGGGGAGATACAGGATATATTTCACTTTCATCTGTGTATGCAGTGCTGGTACCTTTTATAGCAAGCTTGTACATATAGTGCCCCTCTTGATAGCTATACATAGTTGTTTTAAATATGATCTTTTCCCTCATCAGAAAAAAGCTGCTTGCTCTGAAAAACTTCTGCCTTATGCAAGCTACATGACTCCTCCCCAAATTCCTGCAGCATCAGCGGAATCTGTGTGTGGAACACGCTGTAATGTTATGCTCTAGGTGTATTCCTGTGGCTGTTGAATAAAATTATTTTTGACAGAGGAAAGTCATGGCCAAACAGCTTAAGATGAGACCAATGAAACAGCAAAGGCTGCGGTGGGAGGAAGCTTTGCTGAGTTTTAGGAATTCCCCTGCAGACCTGTTTTTATTAAAATTCTGTATGTAAGCATTCAACTGGAGTAAAGCAGTTTATTTTGAAGAAATTTCCTGGCTGTTAGAAATGACTAATTAATACTGAAGTTTCTTTTTAGCTGTTTTGAATGAGTGGAAGGGCCAGTGAATGTTAAAGAAATGGGCATTCTCTTTATTGGCAGTCTGTCAGGTCATGCCCTTATTTAAATGTTTCACTGATCACTGAAGCAGTTGGTCTCCACAGCTCAAGATTGCAGAGGGAGAACCCTTCCTAAGCATCCCTCTTCTGTTTGGTCTCCTTACACTGTTTGTAAAATCTATACAGACAGATTACTCGATACTGAAGAAAATTCTTGAGGTGAAACCTTATCACAACTATTAACAGAATGATATCAAAGAAAGAGGGAAAAAAAACATAGAAGGAAATGTGGTTAGGAAGGAGGCAAGTGCTGGAAAGAAGACAACCATTCAGAAATGTGAGGAAGGGGGGAGGAGGAACAAGTTAAAAAGAGCATGCAGAAGTCAGGGAGCATAAATATAGTTATGATAAATCCTCTGAATCCCAGATAATCACTACTGCTCCGTTGTAGAAATTTGTCTGACGTACAAATGAAAGTTCCGCAAAGATGATCTCTCTTCCTATGAATAGCACTGAAGTCCATCCACGTACTGTTGTGCCATGCGTTGACATATTTCTGATGACACTAGCAGTGGCCACTGCGATGAAGGTGTGTGGCTGAGATGCTGATGGTAACCGAGACCGTTTTATCTCTACTTCTCCATGACTGCTGATGATGCAGTTCTGTGCTTTGGAGGGTGTTGGGCTCATCCCAGCTGCATAGTTTGCTTTTAGGGATAAAAATGACTACTGAACCTTGTGAACGACTACTAAACGTTGTAAATGACTTAGCTGCATCCAGCAATTGGCTGAGGCAGGGCAGTTGGATAGTGTAGTCATTGACATTAGAGCACTATTTATATCTACTAGGATGTCATTTGTTAGAGCCTCTTCAACTTGATGTGGGCTGTACTCCCATTTGAAATCCAGTTGTGAGAGGATGCTGTCTACCTGTTTGGAGCAGTTAATACCATGATGTCTCAGAGATTTTAACGAATTTTTTCATAAGCTTAAACTATTAATTTAACATCAAAGGATGTGTTAATAACAAGAAGGGAAGACCAAGATAAATGCTTTAAATGGTAATGGCAGCTGATGTTCCTGTTTATTTAGTAATACCAAAGGCAAATCACCCCAACAAATTGAAAGCTCTAATTATAAGATCTTATCAGAATAATGTGCTATTTATCTGAGTTCATACTGCCAGTGGAAGGTGAATAGGTTTTTTTGTGATTTTTATAAGACTGAAAAATACAGGACATTAACTGCTTCCATACTGCATTGCAATCTTCTGGGTGCCTGATAAGCCTGAACCTTGCCAAGAGGCAGCTATTGCCCTGTAATCTGCAATTTCCTATTTCTGGTTAGTTATCTGATATGTGAGTTATTTTTTTCCAGAGTAGAATGAAAGCTTTTCACTCTGGGTAGGTTTTGATAATTGTTTGTAGAGGTTATGACTTTGTGCAAAATGTGTTAGCAAAAGGAATTTTGTAATTTCCCCCCCCCTAAGTTATTAATATGGAGAGGTGGTGTTGTATCCTGCATCCCGTATTCTGGACTCACATTCAAATGGACTCTGATGTGGAAATAAAAACATGAGTGGTGAATGATCCCCATCCTATTAAAAAACAGGGCTGCTTCTGTAACCTTAGAAAAAGTCTTTATTCTTTTCCTTACTTTCCCCATCTGCGTAAGTGGAAAATACTTCCCTGCAGGCTAGTTGCGTGAAACTTGATTCACCAAGTGAAAAGTGCTTTCTTTTCTCAAATAATCTCAAAATGAAAGTAGAATTATTTTATTATGGCTGTTTATTAAAATGTTTGGCTCCAGAATTCAAAGAATTATTTTATATCTTCTTAATCATTTTTTGGCAGAATTGAACACGTCTAATTTGGCTCCAGCTAAATAAAATTCATTGATGGCATTTGTTATCTTTAGGTTAAACTGATTGGCATCCCAGTAAAGCAGATGTTATAGTTCAGTCCCAGTAACTTGTTAGAGCCTTTAAGCATGAACTTAAGTCTTCAGCAATTGATGTTTAATCAGAGAGCTGATTTACTGTGACATGTAACTTTAAATAGTAGAAATCTTCCAAAAGAACGTAATGAGCTAATCTCATTCCCTTTGAAGTCTGTGCAAGTTTTGTTGATGTTTTGATGGTGCAGGATCCGAACTTTCCATGTAAATTCTGGTAGTGATGTCTAGTAGTGTATAGTAGTGATGACACTGCTTTCATCGTTATTTTCCTTAAAAATCAACTCTATTGATCTCTGTAAGACTTGTGTGGTATTATGTAGTCTCTATTACACAGACCCTGCTATTTTGTAGAGGGAAGTCTTATCTTTCTAATTATTTTATATATATGTATCCATACACACACATATTCATTTTTTGCAGGTATTATTGACAGCACACAGGTGGAACAGAGGCAGGTTGTAGCTGTGACTGGTGATGGAACCAACGATGGACCAGCACTTAAAAAAGCTGATGTTGGCTTTGCAATGGTATAATCTTGAGCATATTTATTGATGTTTGTGTCATTATAAATTTGCTGTAAGAGGTTTTTCATTCATTAAGTGCTGAGAAAGTTGCTTAGTTATTACTTATCAGTGAAGCAATATATTGGAGGGGGTGAGTTATGTTGCTTCAGAATCCTTTAATTTACCATGTTAGATTCACTGGTATTGCTTGTTTCGATACTTTTTCAGTGTTTTGTCTAAGGTAATTATTGGCTATATGCAGAATCCTGTGCCAATACAGAAAAATGAACTCTCTTCTTCGCAACAGTGGAGTACTATTTTGCTTTGGTAAAATCCATCACTAAATGTAAGGATGTCTTCCCAACGTACTCTGACTTTGAAGACATTAACATACTAGACTATATATTAAGATACATAATTCTAATTTTTGTTAGCAATTCTGTTCATGTATATTAATAAAATGTCATCAATGATAAAAAGAACTCAGAAGTTCAGTAGACATTAAGCTGGTAATTTAAACATTCAAAACTATCATCGCATGAATTCCATTGCTGTCTATCAATTCCCTTTTCTGCATCCTTATTCACGTTCAAAAATAGGCCAAATTAGCTAACTTTGAAGCAAATATAAAATGCAGAATATACTCATCAGTCACCGTTACTACGCTGGGGAGTCTCTGTATAACTGTGGACTTTGAATGAGTATGCAGAGATTTGTATTCTAACTGTCTCTATACTTTCTAGTAGGTAATTTTATTCACAATTAATTTTTCCAGGGTATTGCTGGAACAGATGTTGCAAAGGAAGCCTCAGATATCATCCTAACAGATGACAATTTCAGTAGCATTGTGAAGGCTGTCATGTGGGGACGTAATGTCTATGATAGTATCTCCAAATTCCTGCAGTTCCAGCTCACTGTTAACATTGTGGCTGTGATTGTGGCTTTCACTGGAGCATGCATTACCCAGGTAAGGTTAACTTCAGGTGTTGCCTAATGTATGGGGCCAAATCCTACCAAGCTACATTTTCTTTTAAGTAATGGTGGCTTACATTTAATTCTTCCTTTGTACCACAGAAAGTATGCTTTCTGAAATTCTTCTGAACATTAAGAGCGTATTTAGGATCAAGCTGCTAAATGTTAAATAGCTGTTGACGTAAAAAAGTGTACTAATCCATCTTCTCCTGGAAGTAAATTGCTTTCAGGAGCTGCTAATTTTTCTGCTGCTTCCATACAGCTCCCTGTTTTTGATTACATATTATTGTCATGACTGAACTTGTCATGATAGCACAGCGAATGTCAGGGATAGGGAGAAGAAGGAGGTTATGTGACTTTGCCTTTTCCTCTCAGAATATTTCACTATGAAATATATATTTCTTGATGGATTATGGAATGGGATTATTATTTTCAAGAGAGCAGTACTGACACACAGAAGTAATCCTAGCAGGGGAGCTTTTTGACTGATAAGATTATTTTGTTGCTTTCAGGCAATTCCTTTTAATTTCAGATGCAAATGACAAACCAATTAAATGGCACGTACAGTTGGACTTTGATCTCTTTTTCTCCCTCTACATTAATCCCTCACCGCAATCCTGGTATACGTGCAACATGTTTAGGCCTTTTACAAAAAGCATATGTGAAAGCAAACCACATTTTTTTCCCTTCAAATTGCTACTTTTAGATTAATAAAATTAAGTTTTCTTTTCCCTAGAAGGAAAACAGGATGTATTTAGTACAGTATGAGGCTTTTGTCCTTCATTAGAAAACAGCAAAACATGCAGTTTTTAGTGTGGTCCCTCCCTAAAATAATGTATCCTTCAGATGCTGCAGACAGGTGCTGTTACAAAATGCCTCCTTTGATTGAGACACACTATGGGAAAGCTGATGCTTCCCTGTCTTGTGCATCATACGGACGCACGTGCCTGTTTCACCAGGTAAATTTCACCTCATGCACACCTGAGCAAAACCATGAATAAGTCATAAACTCTGCTCCAGGGTAAACTTACATTATAATCAGGGAATTGATACTTGAAAGCAGAAACCAGGTACCTTTACAAAACCATGAGATCAAGCTTCTCCTAAGCCTTGACTGACATTTAGAGGCCTTTTTTATGCTGCATATGAGGAGTCTGCAAGCTCCCAGCTTCTGCTAGCACCATGGAACAGCTGGGTAGATACAACTGTCACCATTTAGCTCCTCTGAGCTAAGCGAGCAAAAGGCTAGTGCTAGGGCTGGGATTCTCAGAGAAATGAGAAATGGCTGTTTTGGAAGCAAGTAGAATTGATCTTAACAAATGAAATAACTATTTTATTCTGTACAAAGGAAGCACTGAAACCTCAATTCACTTGTTTTCCAAGAAGTAAAAATTGCAAGCTGCAAAGTGCTAGATCCCTACCACGCTGCTCCCAAGTCTTGGTGATGCCTTGTTGTCACAGTTGAGCCCATACTATGGGACAAAATTATTGATGTTGAGGCAGAAGTTGAATAACTTTTCCTTTTCCCTTGGGAAATATTTTCAAGCATACTGAGAAAATGTTTAGCTGTAAAGTGATCGTTGCTGGTAACAGAAGGTATGTGAATAAGGACTAAAAGTCTGGAAGGTCAATCCTCCTGGATTTTTCAGTGGTACAAAACCATATAGAAAAAAGTGCTAACAGCAACGTGGTAAGAATACCGTAATTGGAATTGAGGCGAGTGCTTCCTTGTAAGACCCTGTTTTATAGACATTCAGTCACTGCCTACTAATGTTTATTTAAGGTGATTTTTTTGTGGTTAGTGTCCAGCATTTTTTCAATTGCTTTGTGAAAGCATGAAGGGAAACATATTCTATTTGTTAACTAAGGAATTTCTGTTTTATTCAAGGTTTATTCAGTGCAAAGTCTATTTTAAATCAAGTCTAAGTGCATGTGTAGTGCATAATCAGTGCAAGCATATTCCCCTTTCTAATTCTGGGGCTTTCTTCATCCTTTGAATCATTGCATTGGCTTCTAGAAGGATTTGGATCAGGCCCAGTGCATTTATATTGCCCCAATGGTCTGTAAGACCGTCACTGAGCCTATCAAGTCTATTGTCCCTGTTTACAGGTTTTAGTGTACACCTCCTAGAATTCCTGTATTTCTGTCCAGATAGATTCTTGTGCAATTCCTTAGTTTGGTAGTAAAAATGCAAATCCAAAGGAAGAGGTCTGAAAGGAGCTAAAAAGGCAGCAGTTATTTCCATTATAGTTCTGTTTACACTCTATGGCCTGACTGCTGATAATCTCAAGCAGCTCTCAGTTCTGTCTCATTCAAGAAGGATCTTGCCTTACAAATGAACATTATTATGTTAGTCTTTGACTCAAAGACTCTAGCCAGTGAAAGGGCATTATGTTTGTTTGGCTTATAAACTTTACTAAAAATTACACTTGAGAATATACTGTACCCTCTGGTTGCTATGAAAAATGCTGTAGCACAAAGTGCATGAATATACTAAAAAAATCTTACATACAACAGGCTAGGTGCATAGATCTAAGTCTGCAAAAGTGTACACAGGTTTTAAATTACTATTTTGACTGAAACATTTAAGTTCTTAACAAACAAATGAAGCTAAAATCTGTAGTTTCCAAAAGGCAACACAGCTTTCTGTGACCTTAAAAATGAATATAAAGAAGGTCCACATTGGACTGAATTTTACTTTGCTTTTAGTCAGTTTGGCTTTCTCTGACACACAGAATATAATTTTAGTCCACAATTAATAATCAGGTTAATGAATATTACACAGGCTATCCTTTTGGTGATATTTCATCAAATCTAGAATGAGAAAAATTCTATTTAGGTAGTAACATTTCTTTCATGCTTCTTAAAGTCACCTCTCAAAAAATCTGTTCTGCAGTGCAGAACCAGCATACTGGGATGCTTTGAGTGTGAAGCTTCTTTTACGCTTACCTGCTCTTTTTGGTGTTTCTACTGTTTGTGCTTAAAGGAAGTACAAAGATAATAAAATATTTGTTTTGACTAATTTTTTTAACACTTGGCTTGTAGTTTGCAACTAAATAGACTTATTTTTTTCAGTCTTGATCCTGCAATTGCATCAGTGTACATGTAAATATGTGCATGTGGTCATACCAGTGCAGGACTCCTAGTGAAACTACAGCAACTCTATATTAATGGAAGGGTCCAACTATGTGCGTACTATTATGGGTGAAACTAGACCTCCAAGGAGCACCCAGAGAATGCATTGCCAAGTAGGAGCTGATTTGTCTGGTCCAGAACACCTTAGGAGTGCCATGGAGAGTCTTAAGAAAAATACTAGGTAGAACCTGTGACCATTAGTGGTCATTTTAAGAATCTGCTTTTTTTGCTCAAATACATAAATAAAATCAGTGTTCTTGCCAATTCCACTTCAGGGAACTACTGTTTAGCTTAATTCTGTTAATTTTAAGCAAATATTATTTTATCATTTATCTATCCAATGCCTGTTTCAGCAAGATGCTGCTATTAGAGAGAGTATCTACCATATCTACTATTTCTATTTTGTCCTGGTTTGCTGTTTCAATAGATGTTTAATGACATGTACAAAGTGTATGTGACCCTACATGCTACTCCAATGTTATATAAGGATTATAAAGGAGTAGCAGTGGGCTATTAAGGAAGTTATTATACAGACTAAACAGGACCAATGCAAATGGCCATTTGCTATTCTCTGTCATGGGTCCCAGCACAAAGTCACGTTAAGGTGACAGAAATCATATTTTAAGCAGCATAGGAATTACAGATACAGTGTCACCTGTTGGCAAGCTTAGCACGGCTGCTGCCAAAGCTAAGCTGCCCCTCAGGGATCTAACTTACATTGGGCCCTGTTTCAGTTTGCAGCAGCAAAATGTATAAGCCAAGAGTTCTGAATTTTCAACTAGTAATGAACTTTTGTGTTGTGATTCTGTAATTATGTAGAGCACTCTGAGATCTAGGTCATACAAGAAAACCAAGCTTAAAGAAGTCTCTGATTAAAAGCTGAATCAGGATCGCTCAATCTATGGCTGCATAGGTGCTTTTAATTTTGTGTCCAGTGTGTACATAGCCCCCACCAATGCGATCACTAATGAAACTATTACTTCTCCTAGTCCCATGTCAGTGCAGTTTGTGTGGCACAGTGCAGCTGAGCTGTATTAATTCACCCTATCTTTCAGTTAATCTAATTCATTTACCTCTTGCTTCCTTCTCTCTCTGTTGCCCAGTGCATACTATTAAAATGATCAGGGTGTGGTTATCTTGACCAGTTTGCATATAATTGTCCTTTCTGTGTAGCAGCCATTACCTCAGGTTAAACCAACAATTTCTTTTTCCAGTGGATTTATGAGATGTAAACTCTTATATTCTGACTTCATTCTCTGAATACGTTTTTGCAGAGCCCTTGATTGACTCAGTGAGGGTTCTTCTTTGGAACTCTGCTTACAATTATTGTGAATTTTGTACTTCAAATGAGTCATTGCGCCACATCTCTAGGTATCATATAGAGTTCTATACGTGCCTTACAAAACCAGAAGGTTCATCCTGTTTCCCGTCCCCAACATATACACAGTACCAAGAAAATATTAGGTCATTATGTTTGGAGCTGTTAAAAATAATCTGGGTATGTACAAAATAAAGACTTTAAATTGCAGTTTAGTCAAATGGAAACACTTTTTTGCTGGAACTGTAAAGCTAGCAGGTTTATCTCCGTGCCAAATTTTGTCTGTCTCCAATTTGTTGAGGCAATGTAACTATTCAAAAAGGTTGCATTAAAGAAAGAGAAGACAAAGACCGTGTTTTAACATTTTACATTCAAATTATTATTCTCGTACTTTGACAAAGACAATGTTTTAGCAGACGTTAGGAACTGAAAACAGTGACTCTATAGGACATTATGTTTGGAAAATTAAATGTTAATTAAAAAGCACTCTAGCAATGAACTACTGCATGAATCACTTACTGTTTTTACAGATCTTGCTCAAAAAATGAGGATGATCTATACTTACATGTATAAGGCAGTAATTTACATGGTTATAATGTTTTACTGCAGAACTGTATTTGGCAAATCCTAAAATAATAGCATTGGCAAATTTGAAAAAGCTATAATATAAAATCAAAGTATGTACTGTTTAGCTTTGTTTTGGGAAGGCTTAGAGGCATGGAAATAGAATTGAGGACGCCACTTCCATACAATTAGTAGACAGTGTGATCTAGCAGCAGAAGCGAGGGCTGACATTTTTTTGCATTAATGTATATAAAGTTAATGTACCAGAAATGCTCATTTTTATGAATCCATGCATATGTTCTGTGACAAGTGGGAGTAAAGAGGTAAGGGTGAAAACACCTTTTTATTCCCTTACAGCTTGTCATCTAAATTAAAAGTAACAAGCTCCAAAACTTGTGAGGCTCTGCATGTCACAAAAGATTTGTAGTTTATTTCCAGCCTTTGATGATTTGTACTTTTAAGTGTTTCCAAGATGAAGTGTAACATCACTTGATCTAAGGGACATTTTCCTTTTACCTCTAGGCCAATGCTAACCTATTCCAAGGTCAAGTGGAAAAGAATTTGACAAATAACTGGTGATTTTGGGTGGTTTGCAGTTTGAACAGCTTTCATCCCCAAGGTTTTCAGAAAGTGAATTAAGAATTATTAGCTAGTCAGTTAGTGGCTAAAATGCAGTGAAAAGAACATTGAATTTGCATCCCACTTAAATAAGTGACTAAAATCTGTAATGCAAGACTAAGCTCCTTAGCTGATGTGTATTTTCCTCAGTTTCCACCAACTAATCAGAAATCAGATAGAGTTGCAGTGGAAATTTCATTCCACTGCCTGCCCAGACTAATGTGTATTTAATGTTTTGGCTTCAGCTTAGAATGAGCTTTCACACTTGACTGAACAGTGTAGCACTGCCAATAATAGATAATTATTAGGGGCACCATAGCCACCCAAGGTGATTGGCAGTGTGAAATGGTGAGAACATGTTGTTGCCAAAACTGATGACTGCCAATTACAGTTGTGTGATTTAGAGACTGAAATAATCTGACTTTTCATTATGCTAGGAATATGTCAGGCTCTGATAGACACCTGAATATTTGTCACTATTTATTAAGCGTTACAGACAAATTCAGTTTTATTGACATAGAAGTCAGCGCATGAAGCGGAAATTCAGCTATTGTAACATCTCAAAGTAGGGAATGTTTCTCAAGAAAACTTATTAACTAGACAGGTAAAAATACAACAAGGAAAACTCTTCAGGAGAAAACATGCTTTCCTTTTTCTCTGTATACTATTTCCAAGTCTAGGGCCTCTGAGCCCTAGCAACAAACTGCTTTTAGTGCGAGTACTCTTCTTGTTTGAGCCATTAGTATTAACGAAAATCAATGAGGTCTCAATTTGGCACGAAGTTTGTCCTGATTGCGTTTAGGTTTTTAGCCACCTCTAAAGACAAAGACGTTTCCTGTTTCTGCAGCTGCATATCAAATGAGTGAGCTGAAACTCTCCAGATAAGCCCAGTTAATGCAACCTGTAACCAAGAGGTCAAGAATCTGTTAAGGTTAATCTTCCTCCCCTCCCTGATGTAGCCAACCTGTAAGACTTGGAAACAGTAGGTTGCTTTTCTCCAGTCCTTTGAATAAGCCAAAAATGAATATTTTTTTATAAATAAAATGTATCAAAATTTGTGTAAATGTAAGGGTGTTAAAAATACGTTTTCAAGAGGAAATAATATTTTATCTCAAGGGAGAGCTGGAATATAAACCAGATCCACAAGAGACCAAACCTCTTACCCTTGTTCTCCATATGTCCTTGGGATACCGAATGGATATTGGCCCTCATTATTTGATAATATTTCATTAAAAATGAAAATTTAACCCTTTGAAGAAAAGGGAAGAGTTCATAAGGTGTTTTTATTGGCTTTGATTTGGCTTGTATGCTGTTCCATAAATTTCTTTGCTTCACTACTGCAGCACCGTAGTAATGTAATGCATAAAAATAGTGCTCTGACCTTCCAACTTTCACACTGTAGATTAACTCCCTTCCATTATAAAATTTGTCATCCTGATACCTTATTACTTTTGAGATTCTATTTTCCTAACAGAAAACATCTGTTTGAAACAGGAAGCAGACCTTACTAATGCTGCCTGTTTTGTATTCAGTCTAAAGGTATAGTAGGTTGTTAGATACAAAAAAAGAACCTACTACATTTTTCCTGATATGGCTCCTTGAAGCAATTGCATCTATCTATCATTACAGCTACCCCAATGAATTACAAATCAAAACAAAAATGTCATCTAGAATTCGCCTGAGATCTGTGTTAGTTTGCTTTATTTATTTACTTTGGGGTTTTTTTAAGCGTGATCTAAAGTCCTCTGTAATATGACCATAGACTCTCTCTTGAATTAAGTGAGGAAAGAGCTCCTTCTAGCGGTTGGCGATCTGCTTCAGAAAATAAATACTTCATCTTGACAAGTAGTAATGGTGTTTTTTCTTTTCTTTCCAGTTCCGTAGTTTCAAATATGCTATCCTGTTACCCAGTAAAATAATAAAGATTTTCTTACTTTTGCACATTTGATATAGTTTAATGAGTTTCAGAATATTTTTTAAATTCAAATATCAGCCATTTTCTTCGTCACTACTGTTTTTAAAAAGTCTTATTGAAGTAAGATGTATTAAAACATCTCATAATTGTTTCATAAATTTTAATAACTTCAAGCTGTTTCTGAAAAAACAGGTAGGTAGGTTATAGTAAAAGGAAACATTACTTTTTAAATTGTTTCAGTATATTTTTTCTTCCAGGAAAGAAACTCCCACTTGTATTATGTAGTTACCTAAATTCAGCTGAAAATTTAAGCATGATGCATGAAGTAACAGAGAGTATTGTAAAATGTATTATAAAGTGCTAAAGTTATGCTTTATAAGAATTGTGTGATTGTAAATATTCCTGATTTAAATGACTGGAGAGAAATAATTTATCTTGCTCAGATCGCTGTGCTTCCTGTGATTCTGGTCTTGCATAAGAAATATAAGAAAGGTCATAGTAGGTCAGAGCAAAGGTCCATGTATTTCAGTATCCTGTCTTCAGCCCTGCTTGCAGTCACACAGGAAGACATGAAATCACAGTAAATGCCCTGACAACAATTATTTTTCTAGGAAATATGTAACTTTCTAATTTGTCTCCACAGGACTCTCCTCTAAAAGCTGTACAGATGTTGTGGGTCAATCTAATTATGGACACCTTTGCCTCACTTGCTTTGGCCACTGAACCTCCAACAGAGGCTCTATTGCTAAGAAAGCCATATGGCAGGAACAAACCTCTTATATCCCGTACCATGATGAAGAACATTCTGGGCCACGCTGTTTATCAGCTTACTCTCATATTTACACTTCTTTTTGTCGGTAAGAAAGTTCGTTAGGCTTGTTGCTTAGTTTAGAAGCATCTAGGTCTTGTAGCCTGACATGTCAAAATGCTTTAAATGTAACTACTTAATGCACATATATTAAGTCTGTCATAGTTAAACAGCTAGCAGGACCGAGCTGTTTAATGGGATCAGAAACAGTAGGGGAAACAGAACAGACGCAATAGAAGGATTTAGTCACCTTTCGTATGTTGTTTACGTTGCCAAGGGCCTCAGTGAGCTTTTTTGCCTCCTAACAAAATGTAGGTTTGGGCTTTGGCAAAAGTTTTTGTTAAAATGTAGCATAGAAGGTTACATTTTAATCGGAGTATCTAGCCTGCTTCTTCTATACTGAAATTTTATTTTGAGACTTGTCATCTTTAGTAGGCATGTAACAACAAATTAATAAAAAACACAACAAAAATCAAGATCCATTTTACCAATATCCTCTAATCAGGAGCAAAATGTTTGCCATAGTCAAGAAATAATGCTGATCTTAAGTAGTATAGATAAGCAAGTAATCAGTATTAAGTGATACAAATAACACTCTGTTTTGACATTTAATATCTAGAATGGATATTAAAAGGGGAAAATAATCTAATTTATTAGATTACTGGACTCTTCTTCAGGCCTTGCTAGCAATGGATGCTTTTTATAGGTTGTATTTTGGAGAGGGGAGGGAAGGTGGAGGAATGTTTCTTGCTGCAGGGAATAGTAGGGGCTAATAATATCTCCATAATAATAAGTGAACTTGCTCAAAGGACTGGTAATTTTATCAATTGGGTATTGTGTTCTTGTCACTATGTCATCACTGTTAAATTACATGTGTTGTCTTTCAGATTTTTTTCTTTACATACAGACTTCCATATAAACTGTAAATGTAAATTTATGATTCTTTAGGAGTTTTTTGAGCTCCATTGTGAAAGTCTTGTTCCACCTTACCAAAAACTGGCAGCTTATTTGGAATGCTCAAAGGAGCTGATGGTCTGTTTACAGTGGAACTATTTAAATTAAAATAATTGCCAGGTTTTGAAGAGAGATGGTCTGTAATATTGTGTATTTTGAGAATGTCTAGCCAGTCTGAGGAAATTGTAATTTCAGATTCTCTAAAACTGTGTAGGTGGTCTTGGTAATTCATGGGTATGAATCTTGGAACAAGAACTGTGAACTTTATGGGGAGTTTTAATGGCTTTTTGATGAGTTTTATGGTTTAAAATACTTTGTACTGATCCCTGATGAAAAGAAAACGAGGCTTTCTCACCCTATTCTAATTACTTCTGTGTGTCTCTGGAAAACCCATGCGTACTTTGAAGGACACAGGCGAACCAATTTTCTGATAAGCCTAGGAAATACAGTCTTTTCCTTTCTAAACTCCACGAGGCTCAGCTTTGTAGTGAGATGATGTTTTAAACTCAGTGTTTCAATAAATAAAATGCAAATTAATGAGAATTATTTATATTTTGATCAACTAATACTTCATTTTTTGTGATAGGTTTCTGTAGAGACTAGTGCATAAAGTTTTTCTATTTTTTCTATGATGTGGCAATAAATACATTGTGTTTGAACAGTAACGCCTTTGAGACATCAGGCACATCAGAAATCCAGAAGTCACTGTCTAGTTCTGTCAAACTGTAGTATAAAAAAAATCTTGACCTCAGCAACTAGGCGTAATAAACTTAAAGTTGATGTGCTATAACGCCTTTTGGAACATGTTCAGAAATAAAAACTAGTTATGGATTTAACCACTGCCATTCCACAATAGCAGCATGTTCTGCTTTGCCAATTAAGTGATGCAATGCAATAATAGAGACTTAAGGACAGGTACTCTCACTGAGGAAAGTATTATTTATACATTCGTTTGTGTGTGTATTGAAAGAAAGCAAATAGATGTATGTGTATATATATGTGTGTGTATCTATAAAAGATAAAATGATGATATCTGTTTGCTTTCATTAATTTTTTTCTTTTATTGTTTATATGTAGTAAGGGGAATGTTTTCCAATACTTAGTTATCTCTCTGGAGATGTATAATCTTCTTAAAAATCTCTGCTCTCTCACAGTCTAAGTTTTGTGGCCTTATATTGTGTTACTGGTATATTTGTGATATTGTAATCTACTTTCTGTCAAAAGACTATAAGCCAAACTCTTTCTTTGGAAACATGCTCATTATTCCCAGTGACTTGAACATGAACTGCTCAAATATCAAAGGCAAAACAACGCTCACCGTTAACTTAGCTGATGGAATTAATGACCTCAAGAAAAAAACTGAGGAAACCTTTCTTCTTCTTTCTTCAGAAATTCTGAATATAATGCTAGTGGGATAGCAGAAAAATGTTCAAGTTTTAATTTGCTTTTATTAACAAAACACTGGTTATGAAAATGAGTAGTATTGTGATAATCTTCTTTACTCTTATTCCATTCATTATTTACACTTTCATGTGAATGCTCCATCCTTACTTTAAGACAATGCCTCTTTCAATAACTGTATGTTATCTGTAAACTTTGCATGTAAGAAAGTGGATGAAAAATTGGACATGAGCTGGCAATGTGCACTTGCAGCCCAGCAAGCCAACCGTATCCTGGGCTGCATAAAGAAGTGTGGCCAGTAGGTCGAGGGAGGTGACTCTCCCCCTCTACTCTGCTCTGGTGAGACCCCACCTGGAGTCCTGCGTCCAGCTCTGGTGTCCCCAGTACAAGACAGACATGGACCTGTTAGAGCGGGTCCAGAGGAGGAGCCACAAAACTGATCAGAGAGCTGCACAGCTCTCCTGTGAAGAAAGGCTGAGAGAATTGGGGTTGTTCAGCCTGGAGAAGAGAAGTCTCTGGGGAGACCTTATTGCAGCCTTTCAATATATAAATAGGCTTATAAGAAAGTCAGAGAGAGACTTTTTACCAAGGCCTGTAGTGACAGGACAAGGGGCAGCGGTTTTAAACTGAAAGAGGGTAGGTTTGATTGGAAAAAATTTTTTTACAGTGAAATTGGTGAGACACAGGAACAGGTTGCCCAGAGAAACTGTGGATGTTTCATCATTGGACGTGTTCAAGGTCAGGTTGGATGGAGCTTTGAGCAACATGATCTACTGAAAGATGTCCTTGCCCATGGCAGGGGGATTGGACTAGGTGATCTTTAAAGGTCCCTTCCAACCCAAACCATTCTATGATTCTATAAGAAAAGAGGTCCCTCAGGTGCAGGTATCTTTTCAAAACGTATCTCATTTTTACAGTTACTCATCATGGGTTGTATCTTGCTTTTTTTATTGGTCAGACCTAAAAGTGATAGTCAAATTATCAAAATAAAGCACAATGCCTGATGGTGTGCCTTCAAAGCAAACTAGCAGAATGATCAAAACCAGATCTATTTAAAACCAGGAATGTCTGTGTTTTTTATCATTGATATCTTTGAATGCTTGTCAAGAGTTATGCCATATTGGATTAGCAAATGGGTGAAAACTGCTGAAGAGTGGTTGCTTCCAATTATTGTAGAAAATCGCAAACATACTGTCAATGGTCTCAAGTGCTCGGTACATCAGAAAGAATTGACTTCTAAGAATAATTACTACTTGGTTAGAGGAAAAGTACTACTGAAAACTGTTTGTGTAGGTATACTGAGTTATTAGATAAAAGTAATCATTTGAGAAGCTTCTTGCTCAGGAAGTTTAGATGTCTTTTGCTCACTGGTGTTATAAATATTGCCTATATTATAGTAAGTGCAGAAAGAAAGCTGGTAAAGCAGAGCACAGGAGGCAACTAGCTAAAGCAAACAAGGGAAATACAAATTTAAGTTTGATTAATTTATTCTAGTGGAAACCTTTACTTTTGTCTTATACCTAGGTGAGAAAATGTTTAAGATTGACAGTGGGAGGAATGCACCACTTCACTCTCCTCCTTCAGAGCATTACACCATTATCTTCAACACCTTTGTCATGATGCAGCTTTTCAATGAAATCAACGCACGGAAAATCCATGGCGAAAGAAATGTCTTTGATGGCATCTTCAGAAATCCTATTTTTTGCACTATTGTACTGGGTACATTTGCTATTCAGGTAATGATTTGGGCAAGAATTAGTAACTATTATTCAGAAATTTACCTTACGTTTTTTTTACTGTGTGGTTTTTTTTGAAATCTAAATGCTATAGGAGGCATACTTAATAGTAAACCATCTGGCTTCACATATTTTCTCAATACAAGTGTCAATAATGGAAAATATTATGTAGCCATACTAATACAGCATAAATTTTGATCATTATAACTAGATCAAATCTTAAATTAATCTGAAGATGTACAATAGTAACAGCCATCATCATTTGTTGATATTGTAACTGGTTTTTTTAAGAAGAAATTATTAAATAGTATACCAAACAATAGCAACAAAGCATTTTACATTAATTTACTCCTCCATGAATAGACAAATTGGGCTTCAAATAGCTAATCCTGATCTGTTCTTCTGAGGTTAGATGCCACTGCCAAATGCTACTTGATGTTCTCGGTAACACTACTTCTTGATAGTAATTCTTCATGTCCATCTTGTGAGTTTGCTGTCCCGGTCATATGTGAACATAATTATGCAAATACACACTTTTCCCAAACAGTTGTAATTTTTCTTCTGTAAGAACTCTAATTCCTCCTTCTGCTCCTGTATCCATCCATTTGCTGGCATCTATCCTGTACTTGTTACCATTTGACACTACCTTTTAGAAGTCTGTTGCAGCCCTCACAATTGCTTAGAGTTAAACTATTTCTATCTTGACATTATTGCTCAATTCTGCAATGGCATCGTGGAAGCTATCAGTATTGGGACCTTTCTCATGGAAGGAGTAAGGAGGAGGATAAAGCTATCTGAATCTGGGCTATAGTTGTTTGAAACAGGAAAGGGGAACCACTCAATAAACTAAGTATGGGAGAAAGGACACCAGTGATTGGTAATAGAACTTAATAGTGATGATCTTTAACAGCTAGTTCAAAAACATGGGTTTACTACCATAAACTAAAATGCCTTTAGGAGAGGCCTGACAAATTCACAGTCATCTCTAAATTTTTTTTTTTTTAATCATGGATGATATTTGAAGATGTTTTCTTAGTTCTAGGCGTAACTGTACTCGGTTGTCTGGCTGAAGGAAAAGTGTCATCCAGCTGCTAGCCACGTTTCTGAATTGGCTGCTAATTTTACTCACTCTTCCCTGCTTTCCTAGTAGCTGAAATACTTAAGTGCACCGTTCAAAACACTACGTTTGCACTCTGACAGTGAATCAAAAAGGACATTGTAGCATAAGAGTACTTAGGCTGTGACTTTTACTTGCTTTTAAGTTTCTTTTTAAAATCAGGTAATTTTTCTTGGGACAACAGAAGGTTAATCTTCCTATTAATTTTCCACTTTGTTAATTACGTTGTGGAAATACAGGTTTGCATAATGTTGCTTCCTGAAGCAGTGTCAGAAAAGTATTTATTATTTTGGCTGTGTGTTAATAGCTGGATGTGTGAACCAAGCATTTTATTCTAAAGAGAAGAGGATTGTCTCCAGGAGCTTGGATTATGTAGATGGATGTGGGAGATTACAGAAGTGTTTTTATTTCATATTTAAAACTTTCTTAGTTCCATATATATTTACTACACTTTCTGTGAAGTACAGACTAATGGGCTTTGATACTTCATCTTTGAGTGCAATAGTTCCATTAACTATCAGTTTAGTTTAGTTGAGTCCTCCTCCTAAACCCCTCCAAAAAGAAAAAAGCCAGCAGCAGTGGTCAAGTTTTCAAAGTAAAAAATATGGAGACTATTACAGTGTATCCTCGATAAGGATCAGAAAGTGCTTCTGAGAGAGCTACAACAGCCTGAGAAATAAAAGGGGAGTTACCACTCCTGTCCTCAGACAAGCAATAGCTTTCTTCTGTTTTTTTAATTCCTTTCTCTGCTTTCAGAATAAATAAATAATTTTCACAGTGAAGGAAGACGGATTAAAATATTCCATACCCACCATATATCATTTAGAAATTTCTCAATGTGGAAATGTAATTTCTTTCTTAGAATTTTAGCATCATAGTCTCAATTTTTGTTTTGTCTCCTCCTTTTTCCTTACTCTCTCCAATCATTTTCCCACTTCCTATCCACTGCCTTCCATTCTCTGGCCCCTTCCTTCTTCCTGTGTATTTGCACTTCACGTGGAATGAGTTTTGTGTTTATAGTTTGTGTTTATTCATTCACACAGGAAAGCAACCACTTTATGTATTAGTGTTGTTTTGTATCTTAGACTGGACGAATTACTTTGGACTTCTGTTTTGCAGCCTTTGACAGTTTAAATCTCTGGCTTGTGATTTCAGGTCCCTGGTTTTGCAGCAGCACTACTAACAAAAAAATATCAATAATATCTGATTTTCAGTTAGCAAAACCTTCTCAATCTAATCAGACTTAGAAACTTGTTCAGATTCTGTGTGCGTTGGTTATCCTGCTGCAAGGTGTGTGGTTTTCCCACCCTCTTTCTCCAACAGGACTAGATTTTGGTATACTATCAGTCTATCCATGATAACACATTCTCTAAGTATACAATAAAATGTTAGTTAGAGGGAAAAATCTCTCATGCAGTGGACATTCCAAAATAGACTACATCAGGGTCAACATATCCCCCAGCTGAGAATACTCAGAAGCTGGAAGAATACATGGGGACAGTCCTGTTTTCTTTCTTCCTAGGCATTCATATATGACTGTTGTTAGATATGAGGCTAAGGAAGCCTTAGTCTGAACTGGTATGGCTTTTTCTGACCTTTAATTTAAGGTTCATAACGTTGTGTGATTTGATTTTTAGTGACCGAGATTCTGCAGCTTTTGCTGGATGGGTTCCAAAAATGTACTTCTGGTAGCTTGACTTAGTGCCACCTAAGAGTGTCAAATGATGTATTTGGAATATAAGATAGTATTTTGATTTTGGGTACTCTTTAGACTCAGTCCACTAAACAATAGATTGTTAATAATACGTTTGACTGTTCTACTGGTAAAATATGTTGGAATCAAACCAGCAGAGCTGTAATATGTAGAAAGACAAAGTAAAATATGACTGAAAGTTGTTGAGGTTTTTTTGTAGGGTTGGAGGCTTTTTGGGGGGGAGTGTGTTGGTTTGGTGTCATGTCCCCATCCCGTGTGTCCCCTGTGTCCTCCCCTCCTCTTTCCCCCCGTGTCCCCCCCGCCCC